ATTTAGACAGAACTCGTCTGTTGATCACTTAGTCAACTTTAATCCTTTAAGTAAAAACATCTGGTAAAAAATAGCGTGTGGTACCCTAACTGTTATGGTTTCTGATCACAAAAAAACCTTTTGCAAATAGCAGAGTGTTCAGTATACATGCGGCATTTCCAGCCAAACCTAGTAAGTGCCACATTGCATCTGGACGAACCGTTTATAAACGAAACCGGTGAACCGTCTTCCCATGTACCTTGTTCGGTCAGTCCAAGAAAATGCTCGAATGAATTTCCGTATTTTCCTTAAAATCTACTTCAAATATAATAGTTTTAACCACATAAGTTCCAATTTTGTCCTGTAGCTAAAAGAAGCTTTCTAAAAAATTTGATATATGCTGGAAACTGTTTGCATTTGTAACCAATGATTCGCTAAAAGTTCTTTCTTTCGATAAAGTATTTGAAATAAAAAAATTTCTATGCATATGGCTACTATTACTTTACAAAATGTCTTACGTTTTTTAGAATTATTTCAGTTTTAATCTACTTTTGAACAATTCAATAACTTTGAAAACTGTTTCGGAAGAAGCCTGAAAAAACAAACCCATCAAAAATGTCAGTAAAAAATCATTTTCTTTCTTAGACAGAACCGAGGCAACATGCATCCCATGTTCCTGACATCTGTTTGAAACTTCCGAGTAGTTTCCCGTTTCCTTTACCTACAAATATTTTCTTAGTTCCTACACAGCAAAAATAGGATAAAGCGGATAAGATCTAATGAACAAATTCTTATTTTGAAATCTACAAACTGAGTTTTCATAAAGTTTTCTGAATGGTCGAGTCAGTTGAACGTCAGTACGACTTCTGTATGGCATTAAGGTTCAAAAGACGTACTTTTTTATAATTTGGATTTTTCAGTAACTTTCATATTTTTCTTTCTTTATGTTTTAAAAAAGTTTTGTAATAGTCAACATGAAACGCACTTCGAAATAACAAGCAGGAATCTCCGGGACACTTATATGAGGATAAGAACAGTTTGCAGCCTGCTGCTTCACTGCAAAGAAGCGCTACAGTTATATCTCATAAACTTTCT